TCTGAATGCTTCCAGAACTATCAGGGGTTCCATCAGTGTTCTTCCCCTGAGTTTGTCTGGAGCCATCTGACCCTCTCCCTTCTGGGTGGATTATCCTCATTCCTGCTCGTGCCTCTGCCATCCTCACATCCTTCACCATTACTCAGGGGATTCCCGCTACTTTCTGCATTGTTGGAGTCCCCATTTGCTTTATGCCATGACTTCTTCCATATTTCATTGCAGCACATTCTTCCAGTACCTAACTAAGAAAGAATGTAGGTCCATGGGAGGTAAATTTTTTGAGATTTTTTTAAATATCTACACGTGTTTGTTATCCTTGTCCTAGATGGAGACTTGAGCTTGGGGTAGAGTTCTAGGATGGACATTTCTTTCCCTTAGACTTTTGAAGGCATTGCGCCATTGTCTTCTGATTTTCAGTTCCTTTTGAGAACTCTGAATCTATTCTGATTATTGATACCTGGTATCAATTTTTTTCTTCTGTCTGTAAGCTTAACCCCCTCCTCCCCTTTATCTCATGCTGTCTGACTTTTCTCCGTGTGCCCTGATGTGGGATCATTTTCACCCGTATTGCTGCGCCCTGGGGTAGGAGATAAATCCCCACAGGGATGGTTGCTCCGTTCTCGTGCAGAGCCAAGATGCTGCAGAGCTGGACGGCTACATTTCAAGTCAAGTGGCCAGCACGGTGTTTTAAAAAGCCCTTTTCACTTTGTGGAACGTTCCAAGTTGACCCAGTAAAAATAGGCGCCTCAGGCCAAAAAATCATCAGCCTCTAATGGTCAGGCATCTAGGCTCCCAGAAGAGAACAGGCGTTCAGTGCCCCAGGCCGGCAAAATAGTCTTATCAACATAGGGAACGTTCCAAAAGCTGAATTCCCAGACTTGAGCCAGGCGCGTGGCTTGCTGTGTTAGCACTTGCCTGCCTACTACCTTTACTGGTGCTCTTTATTTCTTCGTGTGGGTTTGAGTTCCCATATTGTGTCCTTTCTTTCTTAGAGCGGAGCTCCAAGTTAGGTCAACAAGTGAGGATGGGGCTTTTGATGGAGGCCCCAAACACGTCAGCCCCTCAGGCTGCTGGGAGGCTGCCAGTTTTCACTGCTTATGGGCCAGAGTTGGGGAGCCGGTGGCTTGGGGTAGGGGGAGAAGAGGTGAGTAGCACCAAGTGAAACACTACAGATTTGGCTGTTCTCACTGGTTCTTCTTGAGTAAATGCTTCTTGATCCCTTGTATGCCTTTGGTTGATTTCCAAAGTCTTGAAAGGATAGATATTGATAATTTTGCCAGTATTTTCATTGCTTTCGTGGGGGAGATTTACTGAGATCCTCACTGTCTTTCCAGAAGTCCTGCCTTAGGGCATTTCTCTTAAAACTACAGAAAAGTACAGAAAATCATCATTGTAACTAATACCTGGGTACTTACCTCCCAGAAGTAGCAAATGTCAATATTTTGATACTTGCTGGTGGTGTTTTCTTTAATAAAAGAAATAGAGGTTTACAAATAAAGGTCAAGGCCTCTTTTCCTTTCCTGAGGCCTGTTCCTCTCATTCACTCCCCAGGCAAACAGTATCATGAATTTGGTGACTATCCTTCTAATCGATGTTTTTATACTTGCAGTACATAGATTTGTATCTGTAATCATATAGTGTTCCTTTTGTAAATTTACCAGATTACTGGGCTTGAACTGTAAGGTTTTTTCTAAAACTTTCTTTCTGTATTCATTGTTGCCCTTTGAGCTTCACCTCTGCTGATACATTACATTTAGTTCATTCATTTTAACTCTGGTATAGCATTCTAGCATCTGAGTATTGCAGTCCATCGATCCTTACTTCCATTACTGGGAAATTTCATTGTTTATATTTATTGCCATTCTTGTACATGTATCCTGGCCCACACTTGCAGAATTTTCTCTGTGGTGAAACTACAAGTGTAATACATAGTAAGGTATGTACATTTTTAACATTACTGGATGTTGTTTACCTTTCTTCTCTCCCATCCATAGAATCAGTTTGCCTTGTATATTTAAGAATTCTGGATCTGTTTGGGGCGCCTGGCTGACCCAGTCAGTGGAGCATGTGACTCTTGATCTCAGGGTTGTAGGTTTGAGCCCCGTGTTACAAATAAAATCTTTAAAAAAAAGAGTTCTGCCTCTACTTAAGTGAAATTGCTTTGTAATATTCTCATATTCTGTTCTTACTTGCTTTTGGCATCAAGATCATTCAGTTTTATATAACATAAGCATTGTTTTACCACCTGTGTTTTGGTTGTTAAGTACCAGGTACATCTCTTCCCATAATTTTATTTTCAACATTTCTCTCTCATTTTGCTCTAATTATCTTTGGAAAACATAAAGCTGATTTTGAAAAATACAATTTAATATGATTGACCTTTGGGGCACCTGGGTGGCTCAGTTGGTTAAGCGACTGCTTTCGGCTCAGGTCATGATCCCAGGGTCCTGGGATCGAGTCCCGCATCGGGCTCCCTGCTCTGCGGGGAGCCTGCTTCTCCCTCTCCCACTCCCCCTGCTTGTGTTCCCTCTCTCGCTGTGTCTCTCTCTGTCAAATAAATAAATAAATAAATAAATAAATAAATAAATAAATAAATAAATAAATAAAAATATGATTGACCTTTAACTAATGGGGTTAATATATATTTATTGTGCTATTACTATGTTAGTATTTCTTCTTTTCTTGTATTGTCTATATATCCTGCTTTTTCTTTACCTTTTTTTTTTTAAAGACTTTATTTTAGAGAGAGCAAGAGAGCGAGCAGGGGTAGGGGCAGAGGGAGAGGGAGAGAATCTCAAGCAGACTCCATGCTGAGTGCGGAGCCCTATACGGGGCTCCACATGACCCGAGCCAAAATTAGGAGTCAGATACCCAACCTACTGAGCCACCCAGGTGCCCCTCTTTACCTCTTTCTTCCTGCCCTTATTGCATTTTTACACCCCTCCCCCTGACTTTTTCCCTTTGGTTATTTTCCTCCTGAAATATTCAGATATCAAGCATTGTTGTTAGCCAGGCTTTGTGTGTGATAAATTTCTTGCCTTTTCTTGTCCAAAACCACTTTTATATGTCACCTTTCTTTGTGATAATTTATCTGGGGATAGAGTTCTAAGATAACATCAAGCTTCTCTCAGGACTACGAATACACTGGTTAATCTTTTGGCTTCTTTTATTGCTGATGAAGTCTGATGTTGATCTAATTGTTTCTTTGTAGGTGATTTAAAAAATTTCTCTATGGTAGCTTTCCATACTTAACTTTCTGACTTAAAAGTCTTGTGGTTCCCCTAAACTATGTCCAGGTTCAGTTTCGCTTTTATTTACCACACTCAGGACTCTGGACATTCGGTGGTAGGATGTGTACCTTTCTTCCATCTAGAAAACTATCAGTCATTGTCTCTTCAAATACTGCCTAGCTCAGGGGTCCCTAAGACCACTACCATATTTAGAGATTTTCGAGAAGGACTCATGGGACTCTACATAGAGTTGTATCTATAGCTACGATTTATTAAAGCAGGGTAGTAAGGATAGTCTACTAGATCACAAGGGGAAAAGACACTAGCAGAGTCTGGACGAATCCATGTACAGGATTCCTTATGCTCTCGGGTCACACAGGGCACACTTCTCCCAACAGAGAAAATGCAACAACATGTGTGCCCAGGGAAGCCCCTTGGAAACTCAGTACCCTCGGTGGCTCTGCCTAGCACATACCAAAATTCCAGACTCACAGAAGGAAAGGAAATGTTCAGCATAAATCACATTGTTTGTACAAGCAGCCTTATCAGTTAGGAAATAGTGGAGACATTCCTGCACTCCAAATTCCCAGATGTCAGCCAGGGCCCAACCTTGCAGGCTAGCCTTTCTAAGTATGGCAGTCTCAGGGCTGCTCTATGAATCCTTTTCTTGGCATATTGCCTCTGTCCCTTTCTCTCTATTCTTTCCATTTGGATTTTCTATTAAACCTATGGTGGAACTTACATTTTTCTCTTTGTCTTACCCTATTTCCATTTTGTTAGCTCTTTATGTTACATTCTGGGTGACTTCCTAAGGTCTGTCATCTGATTCATTAAATCTGTCTTTATCTGTGACTAGTCTGCTGTTCAACCTATTTAGAGTTTTAATAATATCTATATTTTCTATTTATATGTTTCTTTTTTCAAATGTTCCCTTTTTTACCCCATAATATAGCTCTTACTCTCTTTCTTTGAATATTTGAAATTTTAAAGTCTAGATTTTTCTGTTAGCTGCAGTTCTAGGAATGGGGTATCTTTAAATGTATCTGCTGATTAACTCTCAAGATGGTTCATTTCCTTGTGAGGTTTAAATTATTTTACTGTGAACTCTTCAGTGAGAATTGGTTTTCCATAGAAGTTCTGTGAGTCCTAAGCTGTAAAAACATAAGAATATATCTTTTAGCGTTTGCCACTCCTAGGAACCTACGAATAATAGGACCAATTTTTATGTTAATTTTTCAGCTTGTGGGCTCTTTACTAAAACTATGATATTTTCAGATTGAGTTACATTACTAGGCCTTTGCTTTCTTATATATTATATCTTTCTTTCCAGTTTCCTTGACCAGTGGGGAGTCTTTTTAGCTCCCCACTAACAAACATGGAAGCCCCTTGTGATTCCAGCTGTAAGTGGGAATTACATACCAGTTTCCTGAACATTTTTGCCCTGTGGTCTGGATTTCACTGCAAATCCTCAAACTTCAGTTTCTGTTCACCCCATCACTTTAAATTTCCACTTCACTTTTGACACCTAATACATTTCTTGGTTTTGAGCTTGACTATGTATTAAATTACTTTTGTTAAATATGGGCCAGCATTTCTTTGTGTTTACAGTCAGAGGAGGTGGTGCTAGTGAGGCATGGAGGGAGCCCATCCACATCAGCTCAAGTCCTACTGATAGGAGTTCACAGCAAGATGTTTATGAACTAATATTATCCCATAACATTATAGTAGAAATGTTTACAAGTTTGATGAGTTCTTTGCAATTTTTTATAGAATTCTGGCAAGTTGATGACCAGATAGACAACCACAAGGAAAGCCAAAACCAACTTCTGTGGCAAACTGCATTAGTAGACAAGGAAACACAGAAGGATCAAAGCGGCCAAGAATTCACAAGCTTCAGAAAAATCATTTATCCAAACACAGACTTTGTTTCTATAAGACAAAGACTCCCTAAATATTATTCCTGGGGAAGGTGTTCAAAACATAATTTAAACTTTCTTTGTCAAAATAGAAGCTATGTAAGAAAGAAAGATGATGAATGTCACGCACATTGGAAATTATGCTTCCATTCTAATCTCAATAATGCTCAACCTGCAGAGAAATTTTTTGAGCCCAATCAACGTGGAAGAGCCCTCCACCAGAAGCAAGCACTTAATAAAACTCAAAGAATTCAAACTAGGGAGAAACTCTATGAGTGTTCTGAATGTGGGAAAGTGTTCATCCAGAAAGCAAACCTTGTAGTACATCAGAGAACTCACACAGGAGAGAAGCCTTATGAATGCTTTGAATGTACAAAAGCCTTCAGCCAGAAGTCAACCCTCATTGCTCACCAGAGAACTCACACAGGGGAGAAGCCCTATGAATGCAGCGAATGTGGAAAAACCTTTATCCAGAAGTCAACTCTGATTAAACACAAGCGAACTCACACAGCAGAGAAACCATTTGTATGTGGTGAATGTGCAAAAGCCTTTAAGAGTTCATATCACCTTATTAGACATGAGAAAACACACATTAGGCAAGCATTTTATGAAGGAGTCCACTTTGGTAAGTCCAGCCTTATGCATCAAAGGACTCATAACGGTGAGAAACCTGAGTGTAATAAACATGGGAAACCCTTTGATGAGAAAGCCAACCCCATTAAACACCAGAGATCTCACACAAAAGAGAAACTTTATGAGTGCAGTAAATGTGGGAAAAGCTTCAGGGGAAAGTCACACCTCTCTGTTCATCAGAGAATTCATACAGGGGAGAAGCCTTATGAATGCAGCATATGTGGGAAGACTTTCAGTGGGAAATCACACCTCTCTGTCCATCATAGAACTCATACAGGAGAGAAGCCTTATGAATGCAGAAGATGTGGAAAAGCGTTTGGTGAAAAGTCAACCCTTATTGTACATCACAGAACTCACACAGGAGAGAAACCCTATAAATGCAATGAGTGTGGGAAAGCCTTCAGCGAGAAGTCACCACTGATAAAACATCAGAGAATTCATACAGGGGAAAGGCCCTATGAATGCAGTAACTGTGGGAAAGCATTCAGTAGGAAGTCAACTCTCATTAAACATCAGAGAATCCACACAGGGGAAAAACCCTACAAATGCAGTGAATGTGGGAAAGCCTTTAGTGTGAAATCCACTCTCATTGTACATCACAGAACTCATACGGGAGAAAAACCCTATGAATGCAGGGACTGTGGAAAAGCCTTCAGTGGGAAGTCGACTCTCATTAAACATCAGAGAAGTCATACAGGAGATAAAACCTATTAAGATACTTGAGAGTGAGAGAATGTCACTATTCGTTATACCTCATTATGTATCACTTCATCCTGGGGAGTAACCTTATAAATGTCAAGAATGTCAGAAAGTCTTCAGGTATTATTTAATGTTCCTTTAATATAATAAATGGTACAAAAGCATAATTCCAGAAGCATGTAATAAATGTGATCAGTTTTTTACCCAGAATTCTTACCCACGAGTGGAAAATTGTACATCAGAGAATTTGGGGAAATGTTTGTGGTAATCTGTTAAGTGAAAAAACGGATTATAAAACAATATACCATATGGTTCATTGTAAAAAAAAAATAGGAAGGATAGGCACCATTGTATCAGTGATTCTGGGTGGTAGAAAAATGGCAACTTTATGATGAGTAAAATTGTATGCACATATATATTTGTGTTATATTTATATCTATTTTAGGTGTGTGTATGTAGGTAGGTAGAACAAAAAGCTAGGAAGGAAATATACCAAATTATTAAGCAAATTATCATTTGGGTGTTGGGAAATTGATTTTTAAATGTTTTGAGCATAGTCTCCAGAAACTATCAATAAATTGTTTAAAGTAATCCTGTGTATATTTGATTCTGTCTTCCCATCCATTTTCCTTTTCAGCTTTGTCTTTGGTTTTGAGAATGTATTTTGCATGTTGAGAATGGGTATCCTGTGATTTTAATATCTGTATATGATTTTTTTATAAAAATAAAAATACCTCAGGGGGTGCCTGGGTGGCTCAGTCAGTTAAGCATCTGCCTTCGGCTCAGGTCATGATCCCAGGGTCCTGGGATCGAGTCCCACATTGGGCTCCCTGCTCTGCGGCAAGCCTGCTTCTCCCTCTCCCACTCCCCCTGCTTGTGTTCCCTCTCTCGCTGTGTCTTCTTTCTGTCAAATAAATAAAATCTTTAAAAAATATAAATAAAAATAAATAAAAATACCTCCATAGCTCACCAAATCCTGTGACATAAGTTATTAGCTAACAGATTTTTACAAATGAGATGTAGTGAATGGTCAAAGATAACCACAAGTGACGAGATGAAACTGACTTCTGACACCAAATACAAAGCTCATTTCACTGTGGTATCTGTGAATGCTACTTGCTCACATTACTTCCTTCTCTTCTTGTCCTATTATCAGCACTTGTATCGGGCACATCCCAGGTGACCCCAATGAATTGTGCCCTATATAAGCCTCTCCCCTTGAGTTTGGGCAGAACTGAGACTTGCTTCTAGACAACAGATTATGGTAAAAATGATGTGATGTCGCTCCTGTGAGTATGTCATATAAACTCCATCTTAGCAGACTGGAAAGAAACTTTCCTTGCTGGTCTGATGAGGTAAGCAGCCATGTGGAGGAAGCGCATGGGCCAAAGAACTGCAGCTGGCTTCTAGGACCTGTGGGAACCCTGAGCTAAGACAGTAGGACTGGAGTGGCAAAGCCTTGGAGACAAGAGAAGTGAAGAAAAATAAGCCCAATAGAGCTTTTTCCCACAAGGAGCTGGTCGGTAAATGGTGTAAGATAAATTCAGAGATGCACAACAGCCAAGTGCCTGAGGTACCAAGGAGCGCTTTCAGCAGAACCATGTACCAAGGTGATCAAACTTGGACTTCAGATCCCACCAGTGATGAAGGGCCCTGGTAAATGCCCCAAGACTCTCAGTTGGAATCTCTGAAGGACTTCAGGAATTAGGAGGAAGTAAATATAAACCAGAAAACCAGATCTTTAAAAGATTGATACCTCAGCTTGCATGAGCTCACTAACTGAATTAAGGTAATTTATATAACTGCCTGTCAGGAACTAGATAGAGCTCATCTAGAGTTTATACAATTTCTCACGCACTGTGGTATTCGACTGAAAATTGCCAAGCACACCCAGAGTCAAGTTAAGAAAAAAGTGGACAGCAGAAAGCAGACCCACAAGTAATTCAGGCATAGGAAACACAAGTCATGGTCTTTATTTTTTTAAAGATTTGATTTATTTGACAGCACAAGCAGGGGGAGCGGCAGGCAGAGGGAGAGGGAGAAGCAGGCCCTCCACTGAGCAGGGAGCCTGATGCAGGACTCTGGGATTATGACCCAAGCCAAAGGCAGACGTCCAACCGACTGAGCCACCCAGGCGCCCCGAGTCATGGTCTTTAAAATAACTGAATAATATGAACAAGAAAATATAAAATGAAATTCTTAGGGAAATGCAAATTATTTCCAATAATTATTTACTTTTTTGCCTACTGCTTTATTTTCCTGGAGTTTCTAATTGCCCCCCCCCTTTTTTTTTCATTTTTCCAGGGTCACAAACATACCGTCCAATCTATGGAGGTTTTCTCTCTGGTATTAGAATTCAGGGTAGTTATTTATTTTTTTTTTTTTAAGATTTTATTTATTTTTTTGACAGAGCGAGACATAGCGAGAGCAGGAACACAAGCAGGGGGAATGGGAGAGGAGAAGCAGGCTTCCTGCGGAGCAGGGAGCCCGATGCGGGGCTCGATCCCAGGACTCCGGGATCATGACCTGAGCCGAAGGCAGACGCTTAACGACTGAGCCACCCAGGCGCCCAGGGTAGTTATTACCTGAGGGGGATGGCTGAGAAAGGGCAGAGGGAGGAGCCTCAATGCAAGCTAGAAACTTTTCTCCAAAGAATAGTTCCTGCAGATGGTGTTGCTATACTCCCAAATCCTCATGGACTCTACTGTGACTCTCATACAGGGACCTTCCAGAGGCTCCATCCATCATTTCTACATGCCATAGCCTCTTCAAGCACCATATGATATGCTAGGTCAATGATATGATATGCCCAAGAGACAGTGCACATAGTAGACCAGACCTATTTCAAAGTACATTCTTGCTCTGGGCCATACTAAAAATCAGCATTTTGTGTTATTCAGTAAATGGTCTGGAGCAGTGTGACAGAATGGGGTTTATGGTGTATAACAGGGTCCAGCAGTGGTTCCTCAAAAGGAGTATCCTCGGGGCGCCTGGGTGGCTCAGTCGTTTAGTGTCTGCCTTCAGCTCAGGTTATGGTCCCAGGGTCCTGGGATCGAGCCCTGCGTCAGGCTCCCTGCTGGGCGGGAAGGCTGCTTCTCCCTCTCCCACTCCCCCTGCTTGTGCTCCCTCTCTCGCTGTGTCTCTCTTTGTCAAATAAATAAAATCTTTAAAAAAAAAAAAAAAGGAGTATCCTCTCTTGCAGGTGCCACGGCCTCCCTCCAAAGTCTCAGGGACCTGAGTCTCACACTGCAACTTTTCCCACCACTGACACCCTTGACACCATAGGGTCAGCCAGATCATGGGTCCAAGCAATAAGCCTGCTTGTGCTACAGCCTGGGCTTGCTACGGTCTTTCCTGCCTTAGGCCCCCCTCAAAGCTGGCAGCCTTCTGTCACCCGGTACGTGGGCCAGAGAGGTACTTCTAAGTATGGAATACGTTCCCTCCAGATTCCAAAGAGGCCTGTATTTCTCTTTTGTGAAGTTAAACTTTGTGTGTTTGAGCTTGTGGTAGTTTAAACCCATTATCCCATTATTCTAACTAGTTTCTGCAAGGGTCACAATGATGAATTAAACAGAGATATGATTAAGGACCACTAAATCCCCTGCATCCTTTAAGCCTTTACTAGTGGCACTGATCTCCATCATCCCCTAGGGTGCAATATTTGTTTCAGTTTACCATCTTGGTTGGTGGGGGAAGGAAAAAGCAAGAGCTTTCCATTTTGTTTTCCCCACTATGAAGGATCTTACTATACAGGCCAAGGACCCAACATGGACATTAATCCAACAGCTAAGACTGGGAAATGACCACTGGGCATGTCTGCAGATGCAGGGGGCCACTGTGAGTTGGACTTAAGCTAGGACTCAGCCCCCACACTAATAGGAGGGCCATGATGATGCTTTGAGTGTCTGGGTATTCATGTGAACTCAGAAAGCTATGTCCAGCAGTCCTAAAAACATCTGGGAATTCCCCCTTTTCTTAGTGTATAGTGACCCAAATAAATGGCCATAGGTTCGGGGGTGGGGGGACTAAGATGAGCAATATATACCTGCTACAGTGCTCTAGGGTCCTCCTTTGAGGGACTTGTGCACCTCGCCAATTGGTTCCAGGTCTGAAATTTGGCTCAGATCTGGGAACTGAGCAAGGGACCCTTACTTTTTAATGAAGCAATTGCCCTCGGACTCCTTCTCTTTGAATTTTGCCCTTTTCCGATCATAATGTTAACAGCATTCCTACTGACTGCCCAACAGTTTTACTTCTAGGGATGCCAGGCTTATCAGCAGAGTCAATACAGATGAGGAAAACTTAATGAGCTTGAGGGATAGTATTTAGGCTTTGCCATTTAATATGATGTTGGCTGTGGGTTTTTGTAGATGTCTTTTTAAAGATTTTATTTTTAAGTAATCTCTACACCCAGCATGGGGCTGGAACCCACAACCCCAAGATCAAGAGTCACGTGCTCCACTGACTGATCCAGCCAGGGACCTCTGTAAATGTCTTTTAATAGTTTGGGGAAGTTCCTTTCTACTTCTAGTTTACTGAGGTTTTTTTTTTTTTTTTTTTTTTATCATGACTGTATATTAATTTTATCATGTTATTTTCCTGTAACCATTGAGATGATGTTTTCCCTTTATTAATGTATTCAGTTAACATTGAATTCTGAATGTTAAACTTGTGTTCATTTTCATGTATTCTTGGATTTCAGCTGCTAATATTTTAAGGGTTTTTGTATCAGTCTTCATGAGGGTTATTAGTCTGTACTTATCTTTTCCTGTAATTTCTTGGTCCAATTCTGGTGTCAGGGTAATGCTTGTGTGAAAAATTCACCGGGAATTATTTCTTCCTAATTTTCCTCAAGAGTTTGTACAGGACCGATACTATATCACTGTAAAGGTCTTGGAGGACAGTCTTCATGAGACCAACCTCACTTCTGACGCTAGTTGAAAGTTCAGGGGTTCCCAGGGTCACTGAGTACCGAAGTTCAATAATTATATAGAAGGACTCACAGAATTCACTAAAAGTTGTTACACTTATGATTATGGTTTGGCATATCTGAAGGATACAGACTAATACCAGCCCAGGGAAGAGATACATAGGGCAAAGTCCAGGGAAGTACCAAACGTGGAGCTTCCAGTTCTGTCCCTGTGGAGTCCTGGACAGTGTTACTTTCCTGGCATTGATGTCTAGCAATAGGCACAGAGTACTGCTATCCAGGGAAACTCACCTGAGCCTTGGTGTCCAGAGCTTTATTGGGGCTCTGTCACATGAGCATAGTTCACTGCCCACATGGCCAATCAGTCTCCAGGCCCTCAGGAGGTTGAGCTGATACATGACCCAAAGGCCACACCCTAAAATATGTTGTTGGTGTGGCTCAAAGCTCCTACCCTAAATCATGGTGTTACTATCTGCCTGGCCCAAGGCACCCAAACAAATAAAAGCACGCCTATGGGGCCTAACAATCCAAGAGCTTAGAGATTACCTCCCAGGAGGCAAGGGCATAGACCAGACCTTTCTTTGGGCAAGGTTCAATTCTTTACTGTACGATCATCCTTAAGTGTAGCTAAGATTCACCACTGAGATTATCTGGGCCCTGA